ATGCCCAGTTCTCTCCATCTTGCCTCCTGAACCCCCATATCAAAAACCCCAAAATCTACTTTTCCACCCCATGATAACTTCACTATTATTCTGCCTAAACTGTTGTGGCTTGCTGATCTTCATCTAAGGTTGGTAATTTGCTCCATGGGTCATAATCAAACCCACAGGTGTTTTGGGCTCTGTGCCAGGGTCTCTGAGCCCCCTGGCAGGGTCTTGGCTGTCCTGGACAGCCAGAGGGATGTTCTGGGTTCCCACACCCAAAGGCAGCAGAGACACAACATCCCTCTGGAACGAGCACAAAAATCTTCCTTGTTCTTGGATTTGCCTCCACACAAGGCAATCGAGCAGATGGCAGACAGATTTCTCAGAAATAACAGCTGGATCCATGGATCTTGACTGTCTGAGAATTCAATCTGACCAGACTTAAGATGAAATCACTAAATAGCCACAAGGCTGTAGCTTCATTTGCTGGGGGTTGAATTCTGCTCACTTGCATACCAAGAGCATGCTTCCTTCCCCCTGAAACTTGAAACGAAACGTGCCACTTTTAGCATCAGTCCCCTGAGCCTTCAAACTCTTCCCATTTTACAAAGCCACAGACTACCTCAGTTTAGTCTGAGAGCTATTTAGAATGGCTGTACTGAAATCAAGAACACAGTCTAGTTTCCCAAGGCTTCCAGCCTGCTAAGTGTCTAAGGTCACATACAGTCTGGTTTTTGCCAGACACCTCTAGAGTTTTGTTATTTTCCTTCAAACCCTTGGGAAGGTGTTTATTTATGTTTAAATTCTGGAAATTGATCCATTATAAACTGAAATCCCTGTTTTCCCTGCACATTTTATTTCCATGCACAGAGATAAATTCCTCTTTACCAATGCTGTTTATTTAAAAGCCAGGGAGGCTCCAAGTTCCTGCTGCAGGACCTGTATGTGGTACAGTGGAGCAAACAAAGGGCAACGGGGTGGGAAAGGGTCTGGAGCGCAAATCTGGTGAGGAGCAGCTGAGGATGCTCAGCCTGAAGAACAGAAGGCTCAGGGAAAGCCTTATCACTCTCTACAATGATTTGAAGCAGGCTGTAGCCAAATGAGGGTCAGCCTCTTCTCCCAGACAACAAGTGACAGGAGCAGAAGTGGCCTCAAGTTGCACCAGGGGAGGTTTAGATTAGATATCAGGAAAAAATTTTAGGGTTGTAAAGCACTGGAACAGGCTGCCCAGGGAAATGATGGAGTCACTATCTGTGGAAGTGGTCAGAAAATACAGAGGTGGCACTTGAGGGCATGGTTTAGTGGTGAGCACAGCAGTGGTGCTGGGTTGACAGGTGGACTTGATGATCTTAAAGGACTTTTCCAACTTCAATGATTCTTTGATTCTACAGCTTTCCACCAGGAGCAAACCATGCACCATCACTCATTCATTCACTGTTCCCAGAAGGAAAATCTTTTCAGAGCAGAAATGCCTTTGGTAACCTTTCGGTCCCCAGAGCCTGTTTGTGGCCCACAACAAGCCTCAAACAGGCAATGGGAAATTCCAGCAGTGTGGGGAAACACAGGAAAGCCCAAAGGCAGCACCCTACCCACCACCTCCACAGCTGGGCTGGTGTGACTGCGGCACAGAGCACACAGAACCCCAGTGCTCAGCAGATGAGGGAAATTCGGAGAATTACAACTGCATAAAGTTCGCTAAAGCAAACAAACATGAAAACCAGGCCAGGCACCCACAGCAGGGCACCTGAAGATCAGGATCCCAATCCAAACTCAGCTGTTACCACAGCACATTTTGCAGCCTGAAGCCCCAGGCAGTCCCCCAAGGAAGCAGAGGACATTCCTTCCTTCCTTCCTTCCTTCCTTCCTTCCTACTGCCTTGAGCCACAAGGGTGGCTACAGAAACACTCACTGCCACCACTACACTCACAAACTTCCAGAAGATTGCTTTCAAATTAGGGCAATTTCAGTGCCTAGAATCCTTGAAGAGGAAGCAACTGTTGGTTTTGACTATGTATCAGCATGTATCCCTCTCCAAAATGTCTTAAATCCCCATCCTTGCACTAATTACAGGACAGGCCTGTAAATGATGCCTCGTGTTGTTTAGAGGTTGCTTTCAGATGAGACCAGAAGTAATTACCCAGTTTCGGTACAGGCTGTTGCATCATAAAACTTTCTCTAAGAAACCAGAGTGTAATTTCCACTTGCAAACTCACTCATTAGCTTTCTATTAACTAATGGCTTTTACCTAAATGTAATTGGGCTGTTACTGTGGTTACATGAGAGGAGAGCATTTGAAGAAATGACAGAAAATGGCCTTGATGTGGGTAAGGAATAGCAAGGTGGCATTTTTCAGCTCAGGGTACACTCAGGATTTCACAGAGTCATGGAGAAAGGTGCCTCCCCATACTCCTACAAGCACCAGTAACAAGAGTCACTTTGCATAAATCTGCTCTCTAAAGCCAAAGGTATGCAAGGGCGGGAGGGGAATAAAAAACATGCTTAATAAAATTACCAGTGACTAAGCTACCAAGCCTTGCCAGGTGCACAATGAGAAGTTTCCACCTTGGCAGAGGCCTTCATTCATCTGTGGGTGATTTTGGCTAATCCTTTCAGAACTGCTGCTGCCTTCTCCACCTTGCACAACATTCATTCAGTGCCCAGCGCTGGATGGAAGTGCCAGGGGAGGTGGAAGAGCTGACAAAGCAAAGCAGTTCCTTCAGTTTGTGCTGCCCACCTAGATCACAACCACTTTGGTATCAGTGGCACACTCTGTGGTCACCACACAGGAAGTGCTCCAACAGCATTAAGCCTTCAACAGCAGCGTTTTAGACCCTTTCTCACCCCATCCCTCCTGCACTGGAAAGTGACAATTGGAATCCATTTGCTTTGGGACACAAAGCCCTGCTGTTCTGCTGGAAACATTTGGTTACTTCACTACTTGATTAATTTAATTTTAATGCAGGCTGAGCTAGCGTGCTCAATACGTGGCCTTGCACTTATGACACAAAAGCTGGGTGACAAAGATTGTCAAGAAGATCATAATTTTACAATTTAATCACATGCTTTACAATTTAATCACATGCTTTACAATTTAATAATACATCTTACAATTTAGTCATATATTTTAATTGCACCCAATGCCTAATGTTATTTCAGGTAGGTTAGCATGTTAAAGAGTTACTAATTATCATTTGAATTCTTCATGAAGTGATTATTCATTGCAAAGCCTTACTCTGTTAATTATTTTAACCACTGGAAAAAGAAAAAGTCCTAAATAATTCCTACAGCTGATTTAAATGATCAATAAATGGGTCAGATTTTAAACTTGAAAAAAAAATAGAAATAAAAAACTGTTAGTTTCCAAGCTTCCATTTAATTTAAACCACAAATGGGAAATAAGAATAATGAAATATCAAAGTTTAAAGTGCTTCAAATGTTTTAAGTTTTTATCCACATGGTGCATGAAACATCTTACACCAGCTCAGCTGAACAGATAGGAAGAGATCTTTCCTTTGGGGTAGTAGGAGCATCAAGTTAAGTCAGCTCAACCCAGAAAGGTTATTTCAACTAAACAGCATTGAATTAAGCTAAATTAGAGTCAGGTGCTCCAGCTAGACCATCTGAAGCATTCCTGTGGTTGGATTCTGCTTCCTTAAAAAAGACCTGCATTGCTCTCTTTATGCACAAGCTTCACTCCAGTGGGGAAGTGACACCAGCACGTGGATGGCAAGAGAGCTCAACAGCCCAAACTGTGTCTGAATTGTGTATCTTAATTCTGATCTCAGTCACTCCCCAGTACAAAACTTCCAAAGAGGCATTTCTGAGAAGCAGAAACTCCACAGGGAGTCCGTGGGAGGAAGGCAGCCAAAGGCAGGACACAAACAAACCAGCTCTGCTGGAACAGCCACCCTGCTTCTCCTGGAGTCAGAATCAAATCTGACAGAAAATATTAATACAACTTTCAGGAGGCACCCTGGTTTTCCTGGAGTCAGAATGAAAACTGTCAGAACATTACTGACCTTCCAGAAGAATGATACAACTTTCAGGAGCTCTGCCTTGTGGGTCATTCCTGTCTGCTGCCACTGAACCTTTTTAAAAGGCCTGTTAGCTGGCCACACATGCCAAAATGTTTAGCTGGTTCTGAATAAGGAGAGTATCATAAGGACCACCTGCATGTAGAGAGAGAGTGGACATGGCCACAGTACCACAGAGCAGGAATAACTCATGAGCAGGGCTTGGCCATGAGGAGAGAGGGAGGAACACAAATCCAGGTCTTGCCCTCCCCAGGAAACCACACTGTGCCAGGAGCAACAGGCATCAGCACTTTCCCCACACAGGGCTTCCTCAGTGGGAAGAGAATCCTGGATAAAACACTGCTTCCACCATCAGCATCATCTCTGGGCACACAGAGAGGAACAATCACTCTGATATTTGTACTCTTTAATCTGCAAGATCCTATGAGGAAAAGGAAATCCAAACTCCACATTCATTCCCATCTCCACTCCTGCTCCATTTTAGATTTTTTTCCTGAGAAGTATGCAATTTAAAAGCCTCCTCAAAGAAAATATTTTCATTTTCCTTACAGGCTCATTATTTTGTTGGGAGATGTGCAGCTTTGGTGGTTTTCAGAAGTTTGTAGGATGGTGCCTACACCTCCTGATAAATACAACATCCATCAGGTTTCTCCACTTTCTACTCTCAGCTGGCTGCAGAACAAAAATCCCATCACTGGGCTGAGAGCTCAGGGCTAGTCAGTGCAGGGCTTGTGAGTCACATCCGTCCTACACAGGAAAATACATTCTTGGAATTGCAAGAGTGTGTGCAAAAAACCCAAAAGTAACACACAGTGAATCTACAAACACAGACTGTAAATGATATATACCCAGAAATTATATAACACCCTGTGTTTTACATACTCAAAGTGAAAGAAAACAGCAAATGAAGCACCAGTAAATAACCTATTCTCTCTTATAAGGAACGCTTCTAACAAGAATTAAGAGCCTTTCACTCTTTTGCAGAGACATAAGTGGCAGCTGAAGTGTCTGGTGAAGCTCCTGACAGATTCCCAAGGGCTGAGAGGCACAAAAATGAAATGGTAAGTTATGCTTTTCCTTGGGCTGCGTGAAGGAGCTGAAGGAATTTGTGAGCAGAAGGAATTTCATTTAATTACCAACAGAAAATAATCTCAAGATCAAACTATGACTATATAGATGCAATTAACATTGTGTGTGAAGGCAGGAGGGAAGTGCAGGTCTGGTGCTGGCAAATGAAGCTTTACCCATCATAAACACTGAGAAACCTCAGTTCTACAGGCAGCAGATAAAGCCCACACCAAGACTGGATGGCAAAACAAGCCAGGGTTTCTAACCCACCCAGCTTCATATCCAGATTAGCTTCACAGAGCAAGGAGCTGGGAAAGATGGCATAAATTACACCAGAGGAAAGGTCTTTGATCTCTGCTCTAGCAGCCTAACAAAGCATTTGACCTTTCTCTCTTCTCTCTCCTTCATTAGGGAGACTGCTCTCTGGATGGTTGCCTGCTCACTGCTTGCTTCTCTGCCCAGAGGTAAATATTCCATAGTGCCCACCCAGGAATTTGCAGACACACAAGCTGCAAGCAGAACCTTGGAGCAAAACAGAACAGATGAATGCATTTCTTTGCATATATTTCATCACAATCCAAGGTTTGCAAGTACAGGTCGTAACTTCTGTATCCAAAATAAGTGGTTTTCAAATTTAAGATGTTTCAGACCCATAAACTTTTACCTATAAAGTTTATCCTGCCACATCCTTAAAAGTACCCCATCATTTTAATAATATTAAAGACTACTTGGAATCTCATCCTTTACAACCCCAAACCATCTTGCATCTGCTTAGCTCTAGCAGAGTTGATTTCTGACATTACATGAATTAGATATCATCTTCCCTATGAAGAGGATAAACCAGTACATGTTGTTGAGAGAACTTTATACAAGATGTAGTTTCCTTATTGACGTTTAAAGACAGCAGTTGTAAGACCTCTGTGTGTGGTCAGGACTCCTCTGTTTGCCCAGCAAAGCCTCACATTTGCCAGACATTCTGGTGGTTAAGGATGCTGCACTTCAGCTGGAAAACAAGGGGGGAACAAAAAGCCCAATCTTCATGAGCTTCCCTGCACCACACTTTGATTGCTGAAGGAGGAGCATTTTCTCATTACAGGAATCTTACAGATTGGCTAAATTGTCACATTCAACTTCATCTTAACAGGCTTAAACAGTTCAGCAGTATTTACAACTTTTTTTTCTTTAAATCGACAAAATAAACTCATCCCACTTTTCTTACGACTACAAGTGAAAGCTGTGTGGCAACATTCATCTCCAAGATGGAGAACTGCCCTTTCCACATGCAAAGCTTTCTTGATAGGGAAGATGAGCATTATTAATCCTGATTTACATACCTCAGCAACAACTGCCACCACAACTACTCATATTTTCTGGCCAGGAACTCCCTGCTTCTACATCTCCTGCTGCAGCAACAGCCTCGGTGGGAAGCTTTACCAGCACTTCAGCAGGACTTTTCTTATCAAGACTTCTATAAGGACTGGTACTTGACTTGCCCCCAGAAGTCTGTTCTCCCCATGTACAAAAGGCCTCTTGCAGCTGTGGGCTGATTAAATAACTCCTTCCAGCAGATTTCAGTCACCTGCTCTTATCCCAGCCATCTTCAGCAGTGCCTCCTTTTCTGCCTCCTTCTGCCCTGATTTTACCAGCTGGAAGCAGCGAGGGCAGAGTGGGCTGAACCCTGTGGGTGTTTGTAGGATCCTCATGAGTGTTACAGGGTTTGTGCACCATGCCATGGAGGAGAGGGAATGGGTATGGCTCAGCTCAGATACGCTAAATACTGCTGTCCTCCACCTTCAGAAAAAGAATCAAGAGGAAAAAGGTGCACTGCTAAAACCAGTATCAAATGTACAGTGTCCACAGCCAGGAGGCAGGACCCACACTCTTCCTCCCTCCTTTGCTCATTGGGAGAATCCTTATTGCCCATTTTTCTGAATGGAGCTACAAACTCTGTTTATCATCTTCTCTACATCCAAAAAGAGATGGATTTTGGATGCATTGCAAGCACTCTCTCTCCCACAGCACCCTGCAGACAGGACCCTTCCCACCAGGAAAGTCTCTCTCCCTCCTCCTCTGGAGGCTCCTTTCTTCCCCTGCAGCAGCCTCAGGCACTCTCCCCTCCCTCTGTGGTTTCCTGGCCGTGGTCAGGCTCAGCCAGAACCACAATCTGCTTTCACACATGGCCATGCCCTGGGGACACTGCTGAGCACAGCCTTTCCCTGTCAGGATCAGGAGGAAAGGGCTGCAGATGGTATTTTGTGTTCCGGCTCAAATGTTTATTATTTCTTATCTATATTACAATCTTACAAGCTGTGAGTTCTACAGCATCCTACTAACAAGCTACAAAATGGCCCTATATCTATCTCTACAAGGTCTTTTAAGAAAAAACTATCCAATTAAGAAATGACACCTGAACTATTTTTACTTTTAACCCAATATCTAATCACTCATGTCCCACAACGCAGAATTTTCTGTCCAATTACAAAATACCACCCAAACCCATGGAGCAGAAGGTGAAAAAGAAGGACCAGCCTCTGGCCTAAAACCTCCAACTTAGCTTTATAAATTGTCACTGTCATATTTTCTGAAAAATCCCTTTGCCAGGATCTCTTCTCCTGCAAAGCTGAGAAGTCTCAGAGATGAATGAAAATAATAATTATCTGATTTGCTTCTCCTGTGCTTGCAGCTTTGGAATGTGGCTTGGACATTGTTTACCAACAGGTGAATGTTTGATTGGTTTCATGTGAATTGTTTTGACTTAATGGCCAATCGCCATCAGCTGTGTGGGACTCTGAGGAGTCAGTCACGAGTTTTTATTATTCATTCTTGTTCAGCCTTCTGATGCATCCTTTCTCTTTCTTTAGTACAGTTTTAGTATAGCAATATAATATAATATAATATAATATAATATAATATAATATAATATAAATCTTCTGAGAACATGGAGTGAGATTTCTCATCTCTGACCTCGTCTTAGGGACACCAGCAAACACTACAACATATATTACTATATTCTAAACCCTTAAACTCTAAGTTTGCCACCCTGTGATATTACAGACTTCTATTCAAACTCCACACCCACAATCCCAGTTCTGTCATTCCATTTGGGAACCCTTCTCCACGGCCTCAGGTCAAATGCAGTGTTCTCTTGAGGGTCTGTTCTTTCAGCACAGAAAGTTTTAAATTCTCAGCATCCAGGGTTCCAACATTTCCCCAGGCCCCAACAGCGCAGAGAAGGGGCTCAGGATACCCAATCCCCTCCTTCATGCAGCAGTGGCCCCTTGGGATGTGCTGGGGACAGCTGATGGCCCTGCCTGGGCGTGTCACCGATTGCAGGGTGACACATGCAGGGCAGGAAGGGCACAGCACAGGGGAGGCTGAGCTTTGTTAAAATCCAAGTGCCCTTTGAGAAGCAAATCCTGGCCAGCAGCTGATACATTCTGAAAATTGCAGAATCACAGAATCAATTAGGTTGGAAAAGACCTCTGAGATCATCAAGTCCAAGCTGTGACCAAACACCACCTTGTCAACCAGATCATGGCACTGAGTGCCACATCCATTCTTTCCTTAAACACCTCCAGGGGTGGTGATTCCAGCACCTCCCTGGGCAGCCTGTTCCCAGGTCTGATCACCCTGTGAAGAATTTTTTGTCATGGCCAAAGCACAATGACCAAATGGCTCAGCTCTCCACACAACAAGGGGATTCTCCTTCCACCACTAACCAGAAAAAAGTCTTGGGATATGTGGTTTTTTCAGCTAAAAGCTGACATTGTTGGGCAAACTGGGCTGGGATTTTCAGCTGAAAACCCAAGAAAAGCAGATGTGTGGTGATAGAGTTATAACTGAAGACATTTACTTGGCTCCCACATTCAGCTGTCTGGATCGTGCTTTTCCTTCTGCTTTCATGCCTGGATAAACACAGTGTGACACCAGGAAAGGCTGATTGATATGGAAACAGAGGCCTGAGCATGTGACAGGCTGAGCCTTGGCCGATGTCACTGTATTCAAGGAGAAACTGGAACTCTCTTTGGTCTTTAGCCTAACATATGCAGAGAGCTGATGCAAGCCAGGAACACAGGAGTGACCCCACTGCAAACAAAAACATTTATTTCTATGTTGAGTCCAATTACTTGCCCCTTATGCCTCACAAAACTTTGGCCATGGAAACAGATTGAGTTGTCTCACAGTGAATTTTAACTTTTCTTTTTGGTGCAGTCACAGACTCACACTGCTTTTGTTGTGCTGGGAATAACTTTTTTGTCCAAATTAATTAATCTGCATTTAATTTATAACATTATTTTATGCAACAGGTTTGGCCAGAATGCTAATTTAAGCCCACATTCTGTGCTGGAAATACCTAGTTGTTCATGCTTTATAAGTACATTAAAACTTTTTTTACTACCCAGCCTACCCTACAAAATGTGGCACTACAATCTGATAGGAATTGTCCTCCTACCTGATAGTGGCAGACTCACCCATTTTTGCAAGTTTTATTATGCTTTCAGCTAACTTGGAATGATTTATAGAAATAAATGGCACCAAAATTATAAAATGAACAGTGTGTGTAAGTGGGGTGCAGCTGCCTGTCCTGCCTGTGCCCCTGTTTGCCCACCTGCAGGATCCCTCCATCCTGGCTCTTGCATGTGCTAGAATTGATTGGGAAGGTTGGGAAGGTTGGTAACACCTCTGCCTGATATCAGGGACATCCACCAAGTCTCTCCAAGGTCTTGGAAAAAACATTTATCCAAAGTGGGAATGACAGACTCTTCTTTCTGGCTGCTGGAAATTAGCACCAAAGAGTGTGAGACCACAGGCAGGGATCAGCAAGAGTGCACCAAGCCAGACCTGCAGGAAAAAATCTCTTTTCTGTCAGACCCTCTGCAAGATTTTGCAGGGGAAGCGGGATGGGAGCCCCCAGCACGTTGTTTAAAAGTTGGGAATTGTGATCAGGTAGCCAAATAATGGGAGTTGTGGGAGACCAAACTCATCCAGGATTTTTCTCCTGGTCTAGCACTGTTTTTACACTTCTCCTTTTTTTCAGACAGACTTCCTACAAAACCAGAACTTGTTTCATGATATCTGCCCACCCCCACTTCCCTGCATCCCCTTTTCCTCTTGTGACCTGACCTATTCATTAAAGCCAAATCAGACACCTAACCCCAGAGACTGAGATTGCCAAAAGCTGGAAGAAAAATGACAAGCTAAGGGGAAACAAGCTCAGGCAAAAGGCACACTTCCAAAGTGGAGGCAACTTGCACATATCAGCATCTGTCCTGCTGTATGGGGGTCTCAGTTGTGAGTTTCTCTGGGTCTGGATTGAAGGCACTTGAGACAGTAATTCATGTTCACACTCAGGTGTTTATTATTTCTTATCAGTAAAACAGTCTCACTGCTGTGAGTTCTGCAGCTTTTCATTAGAAGGCACAAAATGGCAACAATCTCTTGGTACAAGGGCTTTTAGGACTAAACTATCCAATGAAGAACTGACACCTGGATTATTTTCCCTTTTACCCAATAACTGATCCCAAAGAGCTGCAATGGGGACTTTTCTGCCCAATTGCAAAATGCCACCCAAACCCATGAACAAGGAAGAAGAAGCATGAAGAAGAAACCCAGGACAGCACCCTGTGCCCTCCATCTTGCTTCCATCCACAACATACTAAAAACCCCAAAACTTAAATTTCATACTAAGTGATGCATCTACACTGCTCTCTATAATCTGTGTCACACTTTTGTGGATTCTGGTCTATCTTGAAGTCAGGGAGACTTTCTCCATGGATGAGGATCAGAGTCAGGGCTGCCCTGGGGGTCAGGGCACCCCAGAGCAGACAGATAAATATTCCCTGTGCCCTGGGTTTCCACACTGCTGCACAGCTGGCTGGGCTCTGAGCACACATGGCCCTCCTGGCTGGAAACAGGAGAATTTGGGAGGGAAAGTGGCAATAATGGTGTGGCGAAGCCAAATTCTAGGAAATGTGGTGCCCCTGTCTCTGCTGCAGGCTGATGGAACTGTCTGGGCTTTATTGCAGGTCAGCTGGACACCACGTGCCATGCATTTGTTGGAGAAACTGTGGTCCTGCCCTGCACCACCAGCCCTCCTGGAGAGCTGGCCCTTGCCAAGTCCATGCTCTACTGGCAGATTGGCACCAAGCAGCTGGTGCACTTCTTTCAGAATGGGCACGATTCACTGGACGGCCAGGACAAAAAGTTCCATGACAGAACCAGTCTTTTTCTGGACCAGATGAAGCATGGCAACTTTTCCTTAAAGATCTCCAATGTCCAGTTAGGGGATGATGCTGAGTATTCCTGCATCTACAGACAGACTGAGAGCCACCAAACAAAGAAATCTACAATTAAACTCAATGTATCAGGTAAGATTTTTTTTTTAGTACAGAGGAGGGAGTTGAGGGCACCATTTCTTGTTGATAAGCAATATGCAGCCATTGAGAGGGATTACTTCAATTTTTAAAGCAATTTTTCACTCAGTTTCATTCTGTTCCTTGCTTTTGTTGAAAGAATATGTGAGAAAGAAAAGATAAATCCTTTTGTTAACCTTCAGCACTTCAGGACTCCTAAAGGCAAGGCACCTGCCTCTTCATCCTCCCTTTGAGGGGACAGTAATGTTCCCAAATTTAAGCATCTGGTTATTTATGGGTTTGTACTGTCCTTGATCCACTGTTCCCTGAGGAGCAGCAGAGTTAATTTCACTATTTGCTTGTGGATCTGTGAAGCAGAAGTTTAATCCTGGCAATTGGATCCAAGGTCCAGGTCACATTCCCTTTCAGAGGAATGACAGCCAGTTGCTGCTTTCCTTTTCCCTTGCAGTTGGAAGATGTGGATCTGGAGGCATGGCTGGACAGATGCAACAAGAATTTTTATTTATCCTCCTCAGGAAAATGAGTGAGACCATAACACATGTTTGAATAATGCCAAACCTGTTTGAGCTACCTACAAGCATAGAAACCAGAAGGATGAGGCATTGAGTTTGACCAGCTGGCCAGCTGAAAAGAAAATTAAAAAAATAAGGGATACACATCAAAACAAATCATACATTTTTAAGGTGTCTTGCTTGAATAAATCAGCTGGAAGCTTTCATTATGCTCAACCACATAGATTTACTTCTGCTTAAAATAGGAAAAAATTGTTTTCAAATAATATAAACTTTTTAATATCTTTCTTTAGATGCACATAATTCTCAAGAGAAAAAATGCTTTCAAAATGTAAAGTGAAATAACATTTGTTCAAAAAATTTTGAAGTGAAGTATTTTGCAGTTTTCAAAATGAAAAAAAAAGATATTTTGAAAATGCAGAATCAAAATGTTTCAATCATCTAAATTTTGGGAGCAGTACGGTGTCTTTGATATTCTTCTGTGATCATACTTAAACTTCCAGTTTGTTTGACAAATGTAGGAAAAAAAATAACATTAACCCTTAGATCAATTATCAAAAAAAGAGAAAAAAGTTCAAACAATTAACGTTGCTTATTGTGGGGTTTTTTCCCAGCTGCACCTAGGATTGAGGAGCCACCTTCCCCTTCTGGTAAGGCAACACTCCTTAATTTGCAATTGTCTGGGTGATTTTCCTGTGCTTTATTTTGTATTGGCAAGATTGGCAAAAATATGTTGAATAGAGAAAGTCCAATAAACTGGGGGTGCTTGTTCTGCCTCACTAAGCTGTCCCAGAGAGGGAAAAACATCCCCAGCACTGAGACAGACCTGGGCTGCAGGGAGAGGGAGGCTGAAGGGCCAGGAGTCTCATAAAGACACTCACCAGTATGGGCATCATAAAAACCACTAAAAAGCATGGGACACAGAAGCCACTCCATTCTGGGAGTGAAGGCCTTTGTAAATTACCTTGCTGTGGATAAACCACAGGGTTATCAAGGCTGTGAGACACCTGCAAGGTCATCCAGCCCCACCATCATCAACCTAAACCATGTTTGTCCCCAGGTGCCACATCCAGGGGCCTCCTGAGCACTTCCAGAGATAGGGATTCCACCACCTCCCTGGGCAATGTATTCCAATGCCTCCAACCACTCTCTCAGTGATTTTTTTTTTCTAATATCTGACCTGAATGTCCCCTGACATAATTTAAGGCCATTTCCTCTCATCCTTTCATTTGAGAAATGGCAGAAGAGACCAACCCCGCCCAAGTACCATTTCCTCACAGGTAGTTCTCAAGTTACACTACCAGGTACCAGGTCAAGAGATGTGGGGGGTCCTTTTGGTAATAAATATTAAAAACAAACACATGATTAATGACTCTACATAAGCTCTTCTGGGAAATTAAGGTAGACTTCATCCAAAGGCAATATTGCAATATAGTGCAGATGTTATTATTAGCTTTATTCATTACAGAGAATACACAAAGGTCATTACAGAACATTCTGTAATACGCATTACAGAAACTACACAGAGGTCATTTGCAAACACTTCTGGAGTGAACTCAATGCAGAAGGGATGTCCAGCTTCTAGATACCATTGTCAGTAACTTCTTCCCTAAAAATCTTCCTTGCAAGTCAAATGATTCTTATTAGTGCTACAAAATCTTAAATTGGCATTAAACCTATAACACTTTGTCCTATAAAAACAGCATCAGTTTTTATTTTACTCAGTGGGGCTGGAAGATATGACCCTTTACATAGTAATTATTATATTACATTTAATGTGATAAGTTCAGCCACACTATGACATTACAGACAGATTAGGCTGCCATAAACTCAAATAGAAACTGAGAAAGAGAAATGTTCCAGTGTTTTATCTCATGATCACACAGAAGGAAAAAAAAACAACCCCTGCAATATTCCCACAAACCCCAGCTGTTCTTGTGCCTGACAAGCAAAAAACAACTTGCAAAAATACAGGAAATATTAATTTTTAGACCTAAGCTAGGTAGTCTAGCTGGCCTGAAGGTCTTTAAAAAACATGAAGTTAAATTCAATATGGTGTAATGTGCTTTCACATTACTTTATAAAACCAGATAGAACAGGAATTAGAATATCTCCACCTGTTACCTTCCACAAGAAATCAGAAATTATTGAGGGTCAAACTTCTTAATGCAGAAGCAGTGGAAGATTTTCAAAACCAAATGTAAGTGGGTTGTACTTAAAGGAGATATTTGTATATATGTTTGACTCAGCCAAAACCTTCCTGACAACTACCCCTGAATATAAACTATTTCTAATAATGAAAAGGCATTTTCATTGAGGAAGAAAACAAATAAATTATTGAAACACAAGGGGAGTGTTTCACTTTAGGAGTATAAACTGAAACACACACCTTTGACACCTGGTGGTTCTTGTACTGCAGGATTTTGAGGGACTTGGGGATGAGGAAAGAACAAAAGCCTAACTTTTTAAGTGTAATTCTTTGCAAAAAGGGAAAATATATTTCCTGTTGTCAACTTCTTTTAAAGAAAATCATCAGCCACAGCTCCCCCTTTTTTTATATATTTTCAGTAATTTCTTAAGCAAGAGAGAAAGGCAATCTGTTTTATATTAACTGTTATTTCAGAAGGGATTTAGGAAAATTAAAAAATGAGCTGCTGGGAACAAAGGCATTATATACAGAAAGAGTTCTCACATTTCACAGTCAACCAGATCAACAAATACTATTTTTACGTCACGCAGAAACAATTTTCATCTGTTTCACTATGGCTACATATCTGTTTGTTTGCTGCATGGGTTGCTTTTCCCAGCTACTAGTTTAACACTTTTTCTGGGAAAAATGAAAGGGCCTGGGCCTGGGAGAGGACGCAAAAGGCCAGGATGCTTGTTGTTACAACTCTACATTTATTTCAAAGCATTACTGAGGTTTACCTGATGTTTAATTGTTCTCTGCACATTAATATCACAAACTCCTCCCAAGAACAGGGGGGCAGCACCCTGGCTAGAGATAAATGAACTCCAGTGAGATATTGACAGCAATAGGAACAGCCCTCAGTACATAAATACCAATATACAGCCTGCTCCTCACAGAGAAGGACTTGGAACACTTATAGGAAAAAACTCTCTTCTTTTTAACTCAGGGGTTGAAAATCTCTTTTTACTTGTGTACTACATCCAGCACAGGTTGAAGGTACCACCTGTGCCAAGGGTAATTTGTGCCCTTTGTCCACGTTGTGGATTTTGTACCAAGAGTGGCCACAGTACTGCTACCACCTAAACTGTGTGTGACCTAGGTATTTTAATATTTATTACCATTATTTATGGACTCTTAATCAAAACATCTCCCTCAGGCCCTGAGTAGGAAGAATGAAAATGTATTTTCATCCTGAAATCATATAGTGGCTTGGGCTGGAAGGCATCCCAAAGATCCCACAGTTCCCATCTCCCTGCCATGGGCAGGGACAGCTCCCAAAAAACACCTGGCTGGTTGTTGCTTTTCTGTCAGGATTTAAACAAAAACTCTCAGTCCTCCAGAAAAGCTGCAATCATTGTTGCTGAGTTTCTGCACCTTTTCTCTGAAAAAGAAAAATTTATTTGTCCCAGTACCTTGAAACCTTTTTGTCTGGACTCTGTACAGACACAAAAAAGGAGAATTATGAAAATGAGGCAAAATCCATTGCTTTAAAAACAATCCTCCATCCATTCATGTAAAATGTGTCACGCAAACTTATAATATACTTTTTTGTCAAGTCATCACTTGCATGCTGACTTCCTCTTTTTCAATTTTTCAGAGCAGAATCAGATTCCCTCCGGAAGCTCCATGGATGTGCCAAGCCTGGCTGTGCTTCCCCTCTCTTTCCTCCTCCTGGTCCCCCTGGGGCTTTGGCACTTGTAACAGGGGAATCCAACCTTGTCTTTGGGAATTTCTCCTCCCCAGAGGACCTTTCTGGGCAGGACAGGTCTGTGGGGTCAGTGTGACACCTGCTCCAAGAGCTCAGAACAGACCAAGCATTATTAGGTGTTTTCGTCCCACATTCTGGCGTTCCACAAAACCAAGGGCAGCAAAACTCTGAGGTGGCAATTCTGCTTTTGCATTTGTTTCTTGGAGTCCAGTTTTAGTGCTGCCAGGATATACAATTTATTTTGGATTGTGTGGGTTTGCTTTAATGACAGGAGGAAAGGCTCACAAAACTCCAGGATCGGATTGTAGCTGATCCCAGTGAGATCTTTTGCCTTTCATCTGCTGTCCTTCAAGACAACTGAAAGGAGGAGTGGGAGTAAAACTACTCTCTGTGTCAGACAAAAACTGGAAGTAGGAAAACACTCCCATTGTCTGAAATGTGAGGATGGCAAGCTTGTGAAACTTGATTATGTGGAACTTCAGCTTCTGTTTTCACTCCTAAGCGTCATGGGCTATGAGTAAGAACCCTTTTTCTCCACAAGAAATGTAGTATTTCTTCAGCAGAAGGGTGAAGCTGACCAAGAAAGAACGTAGAAGTTCATAAAATATCCATATAAAGGAAGGAAGTGATTTATTACTATAAAATCCAGCTAAACAAGCCAAAAAATTCAGAAGGCTGAATTCAGCATTATCTTTTTCTGTCATGAAACATGGCAAAGCTGGATTCTTAAGCTGGAACTGTGCAATGAGAAATCGTTACTGTGACAACGTTACTTCTATTAAAAACAGTACCTTTGGAGGGAAAAAAATATTTTAAAACTCATCAGACTGCTTGTAACTGATATCTGTGTAAACAAAATGGGTTTATTTCTAGAAATGTTCGATTCAGGTAGCAGAGGTGTCCTCTGCAAAGCTTGGGTCCAAAGGATCCTGCATACAAACAATGCTGAGGCAGTGCAGAAGTTTTTTTCAGGCCAGAACTGCAACTCCCCTGTTTCACAACCAAAAAGCATCCAGAGAACAGAGCTGAGACTGAACCAGCAGAGACTGAACACGCTGAGCCTCAGGCAGGGGGAATGATTCACAAGGATGCACAAAGTCACTCTGATTTGGAACAGCTGCACCTTTTTATTTTCGATTGGAGAGACAAGACTGTTTTCGCAAGGAAGGGACAGAAAAAATCAGAGCTGAAAATGGACATGGAGGAGACAATTTGAATTTCTTAACTAAAGGGTTTTTTCCCCATGGTGGGGAAGAGAAAAAAAATCCCACACGTGGCCTGTGCTGGGGCTGCAGTGAAGCTCAGCTGATATTTGGCTGCCCTGAGTACAGAGCAGCTCAGTGGAACAGCTGGGGTCCAAGTGCACAGAGAGATTTGATTGTAATAACTGTACATACTGTGACTGTCTTTTTGTGTCCCATCCTCCAAACGTTTGTCTTAGTTTGTGTATTTTTCAAGACACAATTTGATTACATATAAAAACCTGAAATAAAACAAAAAACTCTGATGAGAGCAATTGCTTGGACTGTAAGAGTTCTTTATTTGTATTTGAGTTGCTCCCTACAGTTAGAGAGGTTCCTCTGCAATTAGAAGGTTTAAGAGGTAACATCTGTGTGGTTTTGTTGTCCCTAAAAGTCTGGACTGCTTGCCTCATCTCAAGGACTCCACAATCCCTAAAAATCTGATAGCCACTTAAGCAGCCCAGCATTTCTCAGGAATTGTAGAATCCCAGAATAGTTGAGGCTGGATAAGATCATTGAGTCCAACAATTAACTCAGCACTGCCAAGTCCAAAATTAAACCAGATCCCTCAGAGCCACATCTACACATCCTTTAGATCCACCCAGGGGTGGCAGTTCAGTTAAACAATCTCAACATTTTGGTGCCAGCTGTGTGTGAGGACGCGTGTCCAGACAGAGAGAGAATGGAGACAAATTCCCTTGCCAGCAGTGTCCCTGTCCAGAGGGCTGCCAGAAAAAAACCACTCTGTTAGGAGCCAGGACTTCAAACCATATGTAATTTATAAACTAAACTCCATGTTTTGTGTCACACTTGAAAACAAACCAGGAGCCAGTGCATTTTAGAAGCAAACTTTCCTCTTTGCAAAGGGTGTCACAAGGCAAAGGGATGTCGAAACAGCCCATCCTGGAATAATTTGCTCTAGCTGTGCTAATTGCATTCCCACATAGTGCTGGATGTAGCAACAATCCAGAGTGGAATTATAAAATTCCTTAATCATAGCACTGATGGCCACATCAAAAAAGACAAGGTCACATCTTTTAGCCAATGCAGATGGATTTTTTTTTGGAGATGTTGGTGGAACTTGGGCGTCTTTCTTCCTTTAGCAATATCCTTCCCTCCTTCCCCTTTTCTTCTCCTTTCCCTTTAGACTTTTTCTTAAACATTTTCTCTTAGCCTTTCTCTTCTAAACTATGGCCAGATTTTGGGTTTATATCTCATCCCAGGTGCCTTCCAGTTACACTGTACATAAGACATCTAAAATCTCTCCCTTTTCCCCCAATTCCTCCCTTTCCCCTCCCCACATCAGTCACACAGCTCTGCCTTTCATCCCTTCTAGATCAACAGGCACTGTGTGAATGCTGGTTTAGCCTATACTAAGAACAGCATTTTTCTCCATTTTTACATGGAATTAAAGTGGTGTTTCCATGCTTCTTGAGTATTTGACAAGAGTCACAAAAGAAAGTTGAAACAACAAAAAACAAACAAACAAAAAAACCCAACCAGAACAACTCCACACCTAGTTTTTAATTACTTTTTCTCTTCTTTTTTCTAAATTGCTTTTCTACCTCACCCTTTGAGAAGAAAGGACTATCAGAAATGTATCACCATACATGATACACTCAGGATATGGCATAAGAACCCAGGCCAAGCAGTTCCTGTTTCCTTAATACCAAGAATTTTAAGAATGAGGATCTGGAGCAAACAAATTAATGTGAGGGGGGAGAGGAGAAGGAGATTCATGGAATTTTCCAAATTATTACACTTACTGATGGCAATCTTTTTTGCCTGCCAAAACTGTGGGCTTCTTGGCCAGAGATGAGAAAGAGAGACCAAGCCAGGGCATGAGGGGTGCAAGGGCAGCAGCAAGAACTGAGCTGCAAGGACCTATCAGGTACTGATAGATCACTGAAGATGTAATATTAATAGGTTTTGTAATGTAAACTGTTATGTAAATAGGTCCTGTAAATTGCAAAAGCAAATATGCAAATAGTCTTAAAATTGCATTTAAGGAATCCAGAGTGGTAGCACAGGGTCCTTCTTGTGCTCCCTGCCCATAAAGGTGCTTCCAGATGCACCTTTATTGCTGGAATAAAGAGAGGACTTCTGCTGCCTTTTTTTCACAGTACCCTCCAACAAAGGAGAAGAAAACTAAAACACAAGAAAATCCATTTCAGTAACACCTGCATGGCTAAAGAAACCTTGCAATTTCAGCCCCAAACCAGAGTCTTTTACAGGAATGCCTTTATGGCACAAAAGGCAGGCAAAGTTCCCAATTGCTTTAAGCACAGAAGACAGATGCAGATTAATGCAGAAATCTCATTTTCCCAGTGACCAGCCATACAAAGCCCTTTTGATGCAGGCAGCTCAAAGCATTTCTATAAATTCAGGGAGATCCCCAACACCTGTGCAGTGATGGAAAAGAGTCATCCCTGGTTTAGGGGGAGAAAGCTGAAGCAGCGCAATTTTTTCCAGCTAACACTGTTGACAGATCAGAAACCTGAGTCAAGATTCCTTACTTTGTTTTGGGTTTGATTTGTGCCAAAAGCAGGAGAAACTTCCTAGCTACTGCTTTACAAAGTATTGGGCATTTATTCTATCAGCATCATAATTTCTTAGTCATAAACTGAAAAAATATTAGAAGTCAAATCATGTAAATGGACTAATGTATTCATTTTCAGAGTGTATTTTATAGTAAAACCCTTGTAATAAAATAAATATCCTAATATTAAATTAATATTTAAAATTAAAAATAAAATAAACCCTTGTAATAACTGCACAAGAACACAGACACATCCAGTGTAATACATATGGAACTAAAAGGTGTCAGTAATAGGCCCTGTACAAACATATGAGCTGTATTATATACTACTTAATTTCTACCAGCCTTACTCAAAAAAATTGTAGAACTCAATTTTTATGGCTGCTGTGAAAAGTTACTGAAAGTAATTGGTGTTAATAGATTATCACCTGTAAATCAAGCCCATTAAAACTGATTTGTAAAGCTGTTGTATGAATAAGACTCTGATGCTTTCATGTTTTTTAAATGCTTCACATGGCATAAACTTTTTACACTTGAGTCCACATATTGTGCTATTGTTGGGAAAATAACATTTATTTCTTTGTTGTATCATCCATCTGCTTTTAAATGTAATTATTGCTGGGTGCTGCTCTGTGCTGTGTGAGCACCTCCCCTGACAAGTGTGAGCTGTGTGACTACAGAAGAGCCTGGGTGACCTCTAAATGCTGTTTACAACTCTCCTTTCTTATGACTCAGATTTGCAGCAGCACTTGGGATGTTTAATTGTCCCTGTTTATTATATTTTCCCAGAGCTGTACCTCATGCCATTCCAGTGCTTGTTTACAACCACCATTCCAATTTCCTGCAAGTGAAGGTTTGAGTGACCAGCTGACCTCGAGTGGTCCTTCCCTGTCTGGGTGATGACACAGGAGGTGTCTGTCCTGAAAGTTCCCTCACTGTGCACAATGTGAGGAGCACACAGTGCTTGTGTCTTCCAGACCTTCATTGGAAATGAGAGGGATCACTTTGAAAATTAAGGAGCACAAAAACAATTCACACATTTAAGGAGTAATCTCCACTTCTCTCACTTGCAGTACCTTGGTGGCCCACACCTACATATTCCATATGGCAGCAGCATATGGCTGATAATATGTTACACTGTAGTTACATTGCATTTTTAAGAGGTCTTTGGACATTATTATTGCCAAAGAATGGCTGGAAAAGCCAAATAACTTTTTTTTCAATATTTGGCAGTGACACTGCTAAGAGACAAGCAGGAGTTAGCTTGATCATGTTTTTCTAAGTTTACAGCAAGGCCAGATTAACAGGTTAATGCTTTCCTCTATCAGCTCCCTTTACTTTCATGTGATGTGGGACAAATGGACCATAAAGAAGATCAGAAAGAAATTAATAGGGAGACACATTTGATACAGAATCATAAAATCTTATAATGTTTTGAGTTGGAGGGGCCTGAAAGATCTCCCAGTTCCAACCCCCTGCCATGGGCAGGGACTCCTTCCACTAGACTGGAATTTTCACCATTAGTTCAGCTAAGCCTGAGGGCAGTCATTCCACAGCCTGACACCCAGAAGTTGAGCAGAATACTGAAAAATACTGAAAACAAGCAAGGAAGGTGATTATTTTTAAATATGCAGCAGGAAATCGCGTGGCTATCGGTGCCGCAATCCTCACTGCAACTTCTGTTTCAGCTTTTGGGATAGTCCCAGTTTAGCCCCTTCCCTTCCCCTCTCTCTCTCTTTCTGCAGAGATGTTGGCTACCACTGGAATCACACTGGAGAAAATAA